AATAAAATAATCCCCAAATAATGGCTGGTCTCAACAGGAGGAGGAGAGGGAGGCCACCAAGCCCAACCTGGCCCTCTTCCCTCATGCTACACTTTCTGCCTTCCTTCCAGTTTCATCCCTTTCCCTCCAGTTCCACCTATTCAGACGACTCCCAGCCCCCTTGCTAGAATATAAAAGATATTCCTAATAAAACCAAGCCTCAAACGATGGCAGGCCTCAACAAAAAAGGAAAGAGGAGGGGGGAGGCCTCCACCCCTCATGCTACACTTTCCCTTCCCACAAGTTACCTTATAACCTGTTTCCCCCATTCAGACGACTCCCAGCCCGGATGTTACATTATAAAAGCTAATCCTAAAATAAAAACCATCTCCAAAAAAAACAGCAGGACACAGGAAACAGGCAAAAAAGGAAGGGGGTTGGGGGAGGTTGCCAAGTCAAGCCCAGCCCCCAGCCCTCATGTTACACGTGTCTTTGCCCTTCCCACCTACACGTGTCTTTTCCTTTCCCTCCAGTTCCACCCATTCAGAGCCCCGATTCTACAACATTAAAGCTAATCCTAATGAAAATAATAATAATAATCATCCCCAAATAATGGCAGGTCTCAACCAAAAGGGGAAAAGAGGGGGAGGGCACCGAGCTCAGACCCATTCATCCCTTGCCTTCCCACAAGATGCGTGTCTTTCTCTTCCCTGAAGTTACACGTTTTTGCCTTCCCACAAGATACGTGTCTTTCCCTTCCCTGGAAATTACACGTCTTTCCATTCCCACAAGATACGTCTCTTTCCCTTCCCTGAAGTTACACGTGTTTGCCTTCCCACAAGATACACATTTTCCCTTCCCTGAAGTTACACGTGTCTTTCCACTCCCACAAGATACGTCTTTCCCTTCCCTGAAGTTACACCTGTCTTTCCCTTCCCGCAAGATACGTCTCTTTCCCTTCCCTAAAGTTATACGTGTCTTTCTTTCCCTTCCCACAAGACACGCGCGTCTTTGGCTTCTCATGTTACACGCGTCTTCCCCTTCCCTCCGCTCCCTCCGCTCCCACCCCTCCCTTGCTACCAATATCAAAGCTAATCCTCAAATAAGGACCACCCCCCAATAACAGCAGGGAGGGGCAGCCCGCTTCCCTACACGCTTCCCGCAAGATACACGCGTCTTCGGATCCCCTTTCCCACGAGACGCGCTTTCTTGTTTTTTTTTTAAGGCCGCGCGGGCTCCCCCCCTTCCCTCCCAGGCGCGTCCCGCTCACCGTCAGGCCGGTGCCCAGCACGATCACGTCGTACTCCTCATTCATGGCGGCGGTGACGGCGGAGGCGGCCGGGCGGCGGGCGAGGCCGGGCGGGGGCGGCGGGGCGGCGCTGGGAGGTCTCCCTCGGGCTCGGGCGGCTGAGGGGCTCGGGCGGCGGGGCCTGGGAGGCGGCGGTTCGAGGCCTCGGCGGCCGTAACTGCCGGCGGCTGAGGAGGAGGAGGAAGAGGAGGAGGAGGAGGAGGAAGAAGAAGCGGCGGCCGAGGAGAAAATGGAGGCGACGCTGCTCCTACCTCCGCCGCCGCCGCCGGGAGAAGAGCGCGCCAGAGGGGCGGGGCCTTTGGGGGGCTGGGCGGAGCCTTTGGGGGGCTGGGCGGGGCCTTTTGGGGGCTGGGCAGGGCCCCGGCCGCCACCCGAGGGGGAGGAGCTGGAGGGCGCCCCAATCCCCGCCATCGTAGCCAAGGGGGCGCTGCACGGCCGGCGGCCGTTATTGGGCTGCCGCGAGGTGTCAATCAAGGTTGGGAGGGAAGAAGGGAGGAAAAAAAAAAGGGGGCGGGGCGTTCCCTTATTTCCCCCCCCCCCCCCCCGTGACCCCGCCCTCTGCCCGGGATTGGCTGCGCGCCCTCGGCCGGACGAGGCGAGGAAAGCTCGATGCCACGCAAGTGCCGCCGGGCATGGGAGGGAGGGAGGAGGGAGGGAGGAGCATGCGCGCTCGCGAGGGTGAAGCCGCTGCCCTGCTTCCGGGCGATGAGCGCGTGATTCCGTGCCAAGCTATGATTCCACCACGTTTTGTCGTCTTAGCTTCCGCATGATATGCTCTCAATCTTTGTTTCTGAAACTTGGGCTGTTTTAAAAGGGATGGGCATGGGTTTCAAGTCTCAGAATCCCCCAGCCAGGCCTGGAATTCAGGGAGTTGATACCCATCCATCTTAAACAGGCCATGTTTGAGACACGCTGCTCTGAATCCTGGTTTGTTCACCCGAAGTCCCACCTCTGGGTCTCCACAATCCATGAAAAGGGGGATCCTTAATCCACAATCCAGAAAAAGGATCACATGTGCCCAGGACACAGTAATGAGTCCGTTGCCAAGCATGTGAATTTTGATCAGGATGTTGCAATGGTCATAAGTGTGGAAGAACAGTCACAAAAACCACTTTTTTCAGTGTAGTTGTTACTTTGGACGGTCACTAAACAGAGGGTCGTTAGTCAAGGACTTCCTGTCTTTTTGTAAAGCCTCCTAGGGTTGCCTTATGGTGAGATGTGTGGCATGCAAAAAACAGAACTACCTCATTTACTGACCACCATTGGAACTGGCCATGCAGTTAAGTATTGTAGTCGTTAAGTGAAACTTCTTGATTTTTTCCTGATCTTCCTTCAGCTTTCCAGAGCTACAAAAGTCACGTTGGAAGCTAAAATCCGCCCCTCTCCTAGGAAAGTGTAATATTTTAGGATATACTAAAAAGGCAGAATATTATGTATACAGTAGTATACATGGAGTCATTTTTGCATAAATTTGATTAAGCTTATATTATGGATATATACTGTCAATTTTACCATTACTGTGTATTTTCCAGTTTTGGTCTCCTAATAAGATATTGTTAGCAAGCCCTTCTTTTCCTTCACCCAACATCTTGAAGCATGTGATCATTTATTTAATTTTATTTGTCAAATCGCTTACAGGATACTAGGTTTAAGTATAAACATGAGTAAGAATACAGGAAATAGGTACGAATAAATGGGGACAATAGGACAGGGAGACGCGATGGTGCACTTATGTATGCCCCTTATAGACCTCTTAGGAATGCGTATTCTCTCCCTTCCTTTCTCTCCTCCCTCCATTCTTTTCTCTCCTTCCTTCCTTCCTTCCTTCCTTCCTTCCCTTTCCCTGTTCTCCTTCCTTCTTTTCTTCCTTCTTTTATTTTTTGTTTATTTTATTTATTTGATTTGTCAATCGCTTACAAGATAATAGATGTAAGTATAAACATGAGTAAGAATACAGGAAATAGGTATGAATAAATGGGGACAATAGGATAGGGACGGTAGGCACGATGGTGCACTTATGCACGCCCCCTTACAGGCCTCTTAGAAATGGGGTGAGGTCAATAGTGGATAGTTTGAGGTTAAAGGAGTGCGGGTTTGAGAATGCAACAACAGAGTCAGGTAGTGCATTCCAGGCATTGACCACTCTGTTGCTGAAGTCGTACTTTCTGCAATCAAGTTTGAAGCGGTTTACGTTGAGTTTGTATCTGTTGTGTGCTCCTGTGTTGTTGCGGTTGAAGCTGAAGTAGTCATTGACTGGTAGCACATTGTAGCAGATAATTTTGTGTGCTACGCTTAAGTCCAATCTTAGCTGGTGTAGTTCAAGGTTGTCTAAGCCTAGAATCTCAAGCCTGGTGGTGTAGGGTATTCTGTTGCGAGTAGAGGAGTGTAGTACTCTTGTCGTGAAATACTTCTGGACTCGCTCGATTGTATTAATGTCCAATATACAGTGCGGATACCAGACTGATAAGCTGTATTTGGGTATCATCCTTTTCACTTTGGAGCTCCAAGCCATGTGGTTCTGTCCACCATTAAACCATCTTTCCAAACAGCCTCCATGTTTCCAGTGTCTTTCTTCCCCACTTGGAACTGAACCCAGAAGGATATTTTCTTCCAAGAGTCGTAAAGATGAGGATTTGGCAGCCAAGTCATTGTTTCATCACCATTGTAACTCTGCATGAATGCTAAACAAGGCAATTAATCTTCTGAGCAATTCCTGTTTTCCCCATAACAACAACCTGTGAGGTGGGATGGGTCAAGAGGTACAAAATTATGCTTTTATTCTGGTACCAAGATATAAGGACCCTGAGGGCTCAAAAGCTAACCCAGGGCCTCAATGAGAATCTTACAGCAATTTTTACAGTCAAGGGATGGTCGCATTCAAACTTTGCCCTTCCCCTAATAATGCATGCATAACAGATAATATTGATTGGTTATTTGGATCTTAGCCCCCTTCATAGCTAATTTTTTTTTTTGGCATACTGTGTAACAGTGTGGTATGCTGGATGCTCTGCAGTGGATAAGAAGATGCTCCAGAGAGTTATAAACACAGCACAAAAAAATCAACGGTTGCTCTCTTTCTTCTTTGGAAGAGATTGCGAAGACCAGACTCCTCTCTAGAGCACTAAAAATCTCCAGACCGTTCTCATCCTGGACATTCATATTTCGATCTGTTACCATTAGGGAGGCATTATAGGGGTCTTAAAATGAGGACTAATAGATTGAGAAACAGTTTCTTTTCCAAGGCAGTAATTGTCTTGAATCAAGCAGGGCATTTGTGCTTCTTCTTCTTCTTCTTCCTCTTCTTCTTCCTCTTCCTCTTCTTCTTCTCCTTCTCCTCCTTCTTCTCCTTCTTCTTCTCCTCCTTCTCCTTCTCCTCCTTCTCCTCCTCCTTCTCCTTCTCCTCCTTCTTCTCCTCCTCCTTCTTCTTCTTCCTTCCTCTTCCTCTTCTTCTTCTTCTCCTTCTCCTCCTCCTTCTCCTCCTCCTTCTCCTTCTCCTCCTCCTCCTCCTTCTTCTTCTTCCTTCCTCTTCCTCTTCTTCATATTATTATTATTATTAATTATTATTATTATTATTATTTTAAGTTTTAAATACTCTGTAGTATGATTGTGATGTGGCATTTGGGGCACTGTGCTGGAGTAGTTTTCAAATTTCATTGTATTCGTGGAATGCAATGACAATAAAGGTATTCTATTCTATTCTATTCTATTCTATTCTATTCTATTCTATCCTATCCTATCCTATCCTATCCTATCCTATCCTATCCTATTTCTATTTTATAAGGCCCGAAAAGGTTAGCGACTACTGATTTAGGGCATCTGTCGGAACCCTGACAATCCTCATGGTTCTGTGATCAAAATTTATGCTGTGCAGGACTTTATTAATATGGAGGGCTGAATAAAGCATGGATTCCCACACAGTACGCCATACCGGCTAGGCCGGTGAGTCTCAACCTCAGAATCTTTCAGATGGGTGGACTTCAACTCCCAGAATTCCCCTATCAACTAACAGACTCCTCCCCCTGCAGCCTTTTGGGAAAGAGTCTCCGGAAAGCTTTTGCTCGCAAATCATACCAGAAAACAGTTGGAAAGATGTACGGGGTTTTTTTTTTTAATGCTCACTCCCACAAAGTCTGTTGTCTTCAAAGAGTTGGACAAGGTCGGTCTTCTTTGCCAGCTGCCTGGCATACGTCCAGGCATCGTCTGGAGAATCCTTTAATCCTGCCTGCAGGAGGAAATGCACACACGGTGTGTGTTGTCGTGCAGAAGCCATGTGCAGCGCTGTGGGGGCAGAGGAAGCAGAGCAACGGTGAAGTGTGTGCGTGTGCCCCACGACAAGTCGCAGCCCTGCGATTTCGGTCGCGCTGGCTGTTATCAAAGTCAACATTTAATCTTCACTGATACAATGGTGTTTTTTTTATATTGATTGATTATTGATTAGCCTATCGGCTTGTGATGGCAAACCTATGGCACGCGCGCCCTCGGCAGCTGCTCTTTTGGCTTCTGGTGCGCTGGCCAGATGGTCTTCGCAGGCGCTGGAAAACGGCCTGAAAAATTGGCCAAAAACCAGCCTGTTTTTCAGGCCATTTTCAGGTTGTTTTTCAGCTGTTTTCAGGCCTTTTTCAGACCATTTTTCGGGATGTTTTCCGGACATTTTCAGGCTGTTTTTCAGGCCATTTTCAGGCTGTTTCAGGCCTCTTTTCAAGCTGGTTTTTTTGCCATTTGCAGATCTTTCTCAGGCCTTTTTCAGGCCATTTTTGGGCCGTTTTTAGGCCATTTTTTCAGGCTGTTTTTGGCCTGAAAAACGCCCTCAAAATGGCCCAAAAATGGCCCCCAAACACCCCCAAAACAGGCATGCGTGCACCGGCCAGCTGGTCTTCGATTTTCCAGCACTCCGGTTCTCCACCACTGCTATAGGCCATATCAACGCACAGGTTCAAACACGTTATTACCAATAAAATTCTCAACAAACAATTTAAAATGAAGGTAGCGTAAAACACAATCCTTATAGGGTAAAATACAATAATTGAATACATAAATATGTAAAATAGAAGAAAATGACATAACATTATCTTTATTTTATGATCTCCTGCAATTTAAACCCAATCAGGCCCACATATGCTTATCTCAGTCAGACCATTTTAGTCAGAAATTGTGCTGTATTAAATGTAGTTTTCTGATTCTGGCCACACATGAGGTATAGGTTGTTTTAATATGGGCCTCACACAGGGCCGTACATTTAATATGTGGACCAAGGGACTTACCCCTTATACAAACAGCCATCAAATAATCTTTATTAATATAGTATGAACCTTCCTTTTCCACTTAAAAGGCCCTATGTGTCTTCCAAGGCAAATTAGGCCAGTTTGATCTAATGGTGAAGGCATCAGGCGAGAAACCAGGTGTAGTGAGTTCTAGTCCCACCTTAGATATGAAAGCCAGCTGGGTGACTTTGGACCAATCACCAGGAGATGGTGAGTTCTAGTCCTGCCTTAGGCAGAAAAGATGGATAGGTGACTTCGGGCCAATCACCAGGAGACGGTGAGTTCTGGTCCCGCCTTAGGAATGAAAGCCAGCTGGGTGACTTTGGGCCAATCACCAGGAGACGGTGAGTTCT